ATTTTTCGTTATATTAATGTTTGTCTTCTCTGCTAAAGATTTTTTGTTCCTAGACATGTGTTCAAAAACATGAGCTGGAAATTTTAAATGTTTACATAAACAAGTATTCCAGTATATCTCGATTTCTGTGCACTACACCAACCCTTCCGTTGCCATAACAACATTTACCTCTGAAAATTAAATCAATATATATATACGTATTATCGCAACAAAACTTGTATTTTATGTAATTAAGATAAAAGAGCAACGGTCTCTTAACCCTTTCACAAAAATACACAAATAAAACATAATACTGTTTTCCTATGTTTTCTTATCAAGTTTTTGCATAAAATTAACAGTCTAACTTGGTAATCACGACCAAACTTTAAATATTTGTCTTACTGTAAATTGTGGCACCCGTTTCACGACACAGTATGTTAATAACAACTATAAGTCAGTGCAGTAAGCAGGTTAATATTTTTTCCTGTTATCGCAGTGCCTGTATTCCAAGGCTATGGTATTCAAGTACAACACACGTGGTACCATTGACAAAACGTCTAAACCTAACGTACATATCTATGTCTAACTGCACATGTGTAGCGATATAATGCCCCTCGGGGGTAAGAGTGAGAGCTTATAACGCTAAAATTCGGGATTCTATCCCCGAGGAAGCAACAAAATAGAAGGAGAGAGCGTATTTAATTTTACCAACCTTACGAGGAAACAAAATTATTTGTTGTACTGAAATAAGAAAAGTTTCTGGTAATTTGATATTCTACGCCACTTTCTCGATTTTGTTTTGTTAAATAACAAATAATCACTGGACCGAACGTGGCCTTGTGGTTAGTTGTAGTTTATAAACTGAAACAAAGAACCACACTACCAGAGTTTATTGTAGTTTATAAACTGAAACAAAGAACCACACTACCAGAGTTTATTGTAGTTTATAAACTGAAACAAAGAACCACACCATCAGTTTATTCTTTGTTTCAGTTTATAAACTACAACAAACTCTGGTGGTGTGGTTGTTTGTTTCAGTTTATAAACTACAACAAACTCTGGTAGTGTGGTTGTTTGTTTCAGTTTATAAACTACAACCACACCATCAGAGTTTGTTGTAGTTTATAAACTGAAACAACCACACTACCAGAGTTTGTTGTAGTTTATAAACTGAAACAAACAACCACACTACCAGAGTTTGATGTAGTTCATAAAAAAAATTAAGATTTGTTTCTTCTCGCGCGAAAACATTTATTATCACTCTAGAATATATATATTTAAAAAACAAGTTTTTTTCAGTCAGAAACTAGGGAGCGTAGCTTAATGGTTATAAATCCAACACTTCAGGTTCTCACTATGCGGCTGTGGACGAAACAAGAGTTACGGTCAAATCTCACTATTCGATCAGAGTTTATGGTAGGTACTGTTGACTATCTTTAGTCTATAATTTCAAAATTAGGGACTGCTAACGTAAATAGTCTTGAGGTAGATGTGCACGAAATATCCAAGACAAACAAACAATCCACCAACTATTAACCCACTTCGTACTGGCTTTTACCTGCACGCGCACTTACCACCTTAGAGACTACGTATTTATTCTGTTCTGCCGTTTCTAGGTCAAACATGCTGTAAGCAAATATCTAATATTGCCAGCTGTTTTAGGGTCGATTACGAACTCGTACGACGAGACTGTGTTTGTTTTTATCGCTCGTGGAACTCAGACATCACTTTGTTTCTACGTACATAATTTAATATATGAATAAAATACAACGTGATTTTTGTGAACGTTTGATTTTTTTGTTTTTTTTTGGCTTTCTAAATTGAAACCAATCAGTACAAAGAGGTTAATATCAAGGTAGGTCACGTGACCTGATCGCCTGAAATTATGAACCAGTGATACGTATCTATACTGTGAACTCGCCCATCACAGATTCGTGATTTAGACTAGTTAGAAATCACTTGATTTTATTAAAGTAGTCTGTGTTATAATCTTAGTTCCCCCGGCGGCTTTGCGGTAAGTCTGAAGGGGTTGATAACACAAAAAACCGGATTTTAATACATGCGGTGGGCTCAGCACAGACAGCCCCTTATCTAGCTTTGCGCTTAACAACAATAACAAAATTTTATTATATTAAGCAGTACAGTTAGTGGTTTATAGTGATAAATTATTTATTTTCGACGATCACTAAGACAGTGACGCAACCAATCAAAAGACTCCAACTTAAAAAAAAAAAAGAATGTGACGAAATGACGTCATGATTTCCGACACGACCAATCTAAAGCTTCGATTTAAAAAGATAGCGAAAACCGTAAACTACCACGAAAAACGTGATCTGGATATAAAACATTTTACAGGAGCCGATGTAAAAATACGTGCTAATTTTACTGCAATTTTTTCTCTACCAGTTTCAATCCTTTTAATTGTTCGTCACTCCTGCAGATTTCCGTCGTTCGCAATGCACGACTTACATAAACTATTTAGACAATAAAAAGTTTTACATCCACGTTATAGTGTCATCGATACCAAGGCCATCAGAAACATCACTTAACGTATTGCTAGTTCGATGATGGTAGTTAATTACTCACTCTTTCCAACCTTACTTTGACAGGAGTGCCAGGAGTAATTTTGGTGATTGGTATAAATAATATAAAAATTGGGATTTTTCAGAAATGTTGAAAGTCAAAAATTGAGTTGGTATTATTTTATAAAAAATCAATCGAATGTTCGCACGTGTTCTTGGCATTTTAAAGTTTTGTAACGTGTCATTTTTTTTCTCTGAAACTGTTTTAAAATGTTTTAATTTAATTTCGATTGTTTTTCTCTAATACGGGGACATCTTTTAACGAAATATAGACATTTATCACAAAACGAGCAGAAAATATATCACCTCTCAATTAAACTGTGGTGCCATCTGTTATCTCATTTAAAACTCAAGTGATATTTAGAATTGTAAATTAACATTACATAGTGGTAATTAACCAAATATTTACTTGCTTCAGCTGATCATTTTTTTTCATTTTGGTTTTGTTTTTTCGAAACTACTTATTTCAAAATTTACGAAATAAATCTCGAATAATACCACTAAAAAGATTATTAATTGGTTTTGTTTGTTGTTAAATGCATAGATACGCAACGAGCTATCTGATATCTGGCCATCATGGGTATTGAAACCCGATTTTTGTTTCATAAGCTCCAAGACGTACTGCTGAACCACCGGATTGGGGAGGAGGCTATTAATTTGTACAAATGGCTAAGCTTTTATTTTTTGCTTTTTTTTCTAGATTTAATGTTAAAATTTAACATCTATTACGACATATCCAAGTTTCTGCATAGATGAAATACCTATCACATTGTGATTTATATTTACCTGGAGCATGAGATAGTCAAATAACTCATAAATGAAATACCTATCGCATTGTGATTTATATTTACCTGGAGCATGAGATAGTCAAATAACTCATAGATGAAATACCTATCGCATTGTGATTTATATTTACCTGGAGCATGAGATAGTCAAATAACTCATAAATGAAATACCTATCGCATTGTGATTTATATTTACATGGAGCATGAGATAGTCAAATAACTCATAGATGAAATACCTATCGCATTGTGATTTATATTTACCTGGAGCATGAGATAGTCAAATAACTCATAGCTGAAATACCTGTCACATTGTGATTTATATTTACCTGGAGCATGAGATAGTCAAATAACTCAAAGTTCTTGCGGGTCGAGCGTGGCCCAGTGATTATCGTGCAGGATTATGATTCCAATGTACTCGTCCTACTACCACCGGTAATGAAATAGAATATAGAATGATAGAATAGAGGGAAGGCAACTAGTCAGCAACACCCACCGCCAACTCTTGAGTTACTCTTTACCAATAAGTAGTGGGAATTATCACCATATTATAACAACACCTCCATGGTTGAAAGGGCGAGCATTTTCGATGACGGGATTCGAACTCGCTACCGTAGATTGCCAGTCGAGTGCCATAACCATAAGGATATACCAGACCCCTGATTTTAGAGGGTGGTTTCAATTTTTTCTTTTGTCTACTATACATGACTGATTATAATGTACAAAAAAAAAGGAAAAAGCTGTATCATACAAACTTATCACTTGTCACTATCTTGAACAAGATATATTGGAGAATTCATTTCAGCGAGAAATCTTTATTAGTGCCCACTTTGACGCTTTGTTCTATTTTCAAAGCCAGACAACCTGACTATATTATTTAAAGTTGACTCGGGAGTTTCACCAAATACTAAGACTGTAATTAAATAAATGATAATAAAACATTCTTCGGTGAGAAACCTGGTTAAGTTCGCGTATTTCAATGAAAATTACCATCACAGAACTCTGACCTTGAATTAACAAGTATTATTGCCTTTTTCTAATATTTTGAAAACAGTTGGGAAATAAAGTTACAAAAAAAAGAAGACATTTATTCCCTGATTAATAATTTAAAGAAAAAAACATTTTTATTTCAGCCAACATTTCGACATTGTGGCTTTATCAAGGCGAGTACTACAAGAACTACATTTGTACTACTAGTTCTGATGAAGCCGCAACGGCGAAAAGTTGGCTGAAATAAAACACGTTTTTTCATTGTTATCTCAAGAGTAAAGTTCTTTTTTTCTAACTTTATTGCTAAAAATTTTAAAACATATTTTATTTGAAAATAAACTTCACCACTAATAGTATCAATTATTGTACTTTTTAGGTAAAATCAAATACGAATCTTGCGCGATAATGTTAAAGCTCTCTTTGTTTTTGTTTTCCTGTAAAAAAAAAATCAATGAAAAAAATATGAAAATGAAATTTAAAATAACGTATTAAAAAGTGACCTCTGACGACAAATATATTAAAGAAAAAACCTGTGGATGAGTCATTCTCCGTGGGTGAGTTTATAAATCTGGAATGGTGTAGAAAGAAGTTTCCAACGTGTACAACAAACCAACAGGATTTGGAAAAGTACATTATAAACACCAATGGAAGCGTACGATGTTATAGTTAACCAGCCCGTTGTCATTGATAACGTAAGTAATTTGAAAAATATAAGTTAGATAAATTTTCAAATACGAAGTTGCTAAGCTGAAATTACAACATTAGTACTATTACTAGTAATACTACTACTACTAGTAAGTAATACTAACTGCAGTGTAACAAATTAATGTTAATAAGTTAATTATAATATATATATTGGTCGTAACGTAATGTTATATTTTAGTAATTTCTACTGTAATTCATTTTTAAAATTGTAAGCTAGTTGAACTTATTTACGTTTCATCTTTATCTTATTGTAGTGTCTTCTATATTGGATTTTCGGGCATAAAATCACAATTTTACCTTTATTTTTGGTGTTTTACAAAAATTCAACACTCAAAGTGGATTCTTACTGTATTTTATTTAAATTTTCATTAACATTAGTGAAAAATATTCATATTGATATGTTTTGAAATCTTGACCAAAGCTAAACTCATAATTTAAGCCTAACTAGTACTAGTGTGGCTGTGGAGAAACTGTTGAAATTAAGCTTCTAACACTAGTTGCTAGAATACTTAATTATCTACTGTGTGTTATAATTAAGTGTTATTTTGTGATATTCACATACACAACGTCATTAAGTTTTAAGCATATATAATTCTGCTGAAACCAGATCTGGCTACATACAGATTTTGGTACAGCAAATTTTGGCCAATCAACTCTTTCTATGTTATAAAATTAGATTTACGTTACTTTTTAACCCACCACAAGAAGCAAGTATGGAATATAGGTGGCTACACAGCAATTTTACCGATATAATTATAACAAAGACACTATGAAAGAAAAACAAAAAAAAGGTTACATTAGTTGTTACTATCCAACTTGATTTCCAAACATTCTGACTTAGTGTTTTGTTAGAACAGTAAACCTTTTCATGTATCGCAGTCCAGTAAATTGTGGATTTAGTGGTTTGATGAATTTTTGTCAAATTATTTTTTTAACAATTACCTTTTTTTGATGTACGTATATTTTTGGTATATGTTTAATGGAAACATGTTTGTTAAAATTTCATTAGATTATGCATTACAACTACTAGTTCTTCGGGAAGAATGTTTTTAAACACTTTTTAAATTATCAAACTACATGATGTGTATAAAATATAAATTATTTCGTCATTACTAAAAATCATTACATTTTAGTTAAAATATGTGATTTGTGTGTATCTGTTTCAAAAAAGTAAATAATATAGTAACTAAGCAAAAACCCCCCTCAAAAAAATTGTTTTCATAAACATGAATAAATAGTGAAATTAAAACACGCTTTGGACAAATTTTCCATCATCTGTACAAGTTTGAAATGGTCCATTTTTTAAATAATTTAAGTCATAAACATTTATCTCAAAGGCATGTCCACAGATGGGTCTGGGTCTGCCACAACTCACCCAGAGTCTGCATGATGTTTCTTACATCCTAGTACATCATAAATAAACCTTTTTTTTGGGGAGGAGGGGGGCTTCATTTAACTTGCCCATCCATTTTAACTCTTGGGCACACTCAAAACTTCATACCTAGCTATACAACTAAGCTATGTAGCAGCAGATATACTAAATAATTCCAAGTTTTTTTAACTTTAGTTAAATGTATACCTCACGTTAACATCGTAACAGCATTAAAACATTTTCTTGTTCATAAATATTTTACATCTATATTTCATTTTGAGGAAAGGCAAAGTTTTTAATATACGTATTGTCTAGTTTCCACTGTTCTATACTGTTTGTTCATACTGTAAACAGGTTTTGTAATGTAAATCTGGTATATTTTAGAATCAATATTTTATTGTTGCTTTAGGGTTCTGGAGTAATCAAAGCAGGGTTTGCCGGAGATCAGGTCCCAAAATGTCACTTTCCAAATTAGTAAGTTGAATCACAGCGTTTATAAATAATTAAAAGTGGAGATTTTATTGTGTTGTGAACACGTGACACAAAGATATAGCTATTCCTGCATTTAACCAAAAGTATTTTGATTTGCTAAGTTTCAATCCTATCGGCCAGTGTCTGTTGATAATAAAAAAAAATAAAGGTAATAAAATAAAAAAAGACCAATTTAATTTTAAAAAAATTATAAACTTTAAACAAATTAAATAATAATGAATTTGTCATGAGAGGCATTACAGGACTTACAGTAGTGAAATACATGGTGCATTAAGAAATTAATTTACAAATCTAATATCATGAAGTATGGTAGTACTTAGTAGTATTTATAACTGTAATATTACATCAAACATGGTTATAACCTTTTTTATAATTAAAGTCATAAATGTGATCCTGTTTAAGTAGTTTGAAAATTGTCACATTATGTTATAAAGTAAATTTAGTTTTAAAGTTTATACTTAAATTGGTTCACAGTATTGGAAGGCCCAAACATGTACGAGTGATGGCAGGAGCACTAGAAGGGGATATTTTTGTTGGACCCAAAGCAGAGGTCAGTATGTACGTATGTGTGAAGAATGAAAAAATTATAATAACAAGCATAACCATTTAATTTTGTCATTTATATATATAATTTTATTACTGACAAATTATTTGAAGGGAGACTGGCTTTAAGCTATAGAGATTTGTCCGAAAGGAATTTCTCTGAATTAATACTAGTTTGAAAATAAATGTATTGTTTTCTTTACTATTTTATGATAGGCAGTATACTTCTACAGCAATAGGTATTGTAACAGTAGGGTGTTTTTATCTTTACATAATACAACCAAATTATGTAAAAATGAAAGAGTCGTACTGCTCCAAATATATATTTGATATGTGAATTTCTGAAAGTAGACTAGAATCAGTTAAAATAGTGGCTGTTAGCCAGAAGGTCAAAGTTAAACATGTGTGATAGGGTTGAGCAACTTTGTAAGTCTGTCTGTTTTATTAAAGATCAGTCTTTCCATTCTCACTCTCAACTCGCAATCTGAGTGTTGTGAGTTCGAATCCCTGTTGCTGAATATGTTTGTCCTAT